TAGTTTCTCTGGTGTGAGAAACAAAGTGTAAATAAGGATTAAAACGAATAATTTATAATTTGAAATAGGAAAAAGTCTAAAGGGATAGGGGAAGTGGGAGGGGAAGTGGGAGGGGAAGGGGAAGGGAAAGAAGGAAAAGGAAAAAGTATGAGAAAAGAAAAAAAATGGAAATGAAATCTATGTAAATAGGGAAGGGTGCGGGGGGTGAAGGGCGCACAGATAATGGAGAAAAAATAAGAACCAAGATACATCACGTACAGGTACAAACACCCAATGATAAATGTAAATGTACTGTATACCTAAAATGTACCAGTAAAATAATTTTTTTTAAAAATGGAAGCTGGGCATGGTGGCGCCTGTCTATAATCACAGCTTTTCATGAGGCTGAGGTAAATTACCATTTTCATTTGCTTGATTTCCAGCATGTTTCTTCTCCTGTTCTCTTAATACATCAGTAAAATTCCTTTCAATACTATTTTTCACATTGATGAATGCCACAAATAATGCATTTACTTTATTTTTTCTATAACCTCCCTTCCTCCCTGCTCCTGCTTCTCCTCCAGCCTCCCTTTACTGTTCCTTTTAGGGGAGCCTTTTATTCTCATCTTTTTTCTTTCTTGTTATGCTGGGGGCTGAACCCAGGTCCTCATGCATTGTAGACAAATTCTCTGCCCCTCAATTCCCCCCACCCCACTCTATCTCTGTCCTTTTCCTTGTTTTCTTTTCTCAGTTTGGCAGCACACCCTCTGCCATCTTCCTGGATGTGTATGGGTGGTAGTGTCTATAAGTTTCTTCATTACCTGTGCATGCGTGACCCTTTAGGGAGCTGTGGAGTCCTGAGTTGGAAATCATCTTCTCCTGGAATCCTGAAGGCATTATCCTCTGGCTTCCAAGATTACTTTTTAGAAGTTCAGTGATATTTGTTTTCCATGTTTCTGTGTGTGATTTTTTTCTGTTTGTTAAAATAAAATTGGAATATTTATTACCTTTTTCTATTGGTATCACTGAAAATCACTGGAAACTGTACTTTTATTTTCAAGTATCTGCATAAAAATCAAATAATTAGTATAAGATAAAATTCAGTTTTAAGAACCTCAAAACATATCAAAGACAGAAATACTGATTTTCCATTAATGATAAAGACAGAAGATCCAACTTAATTTAGAGCTGACATTTATAAATTGGAAGCTAAAAAAAAAAATTAAAAGATCAATTAGAACCATAACAGGTAGAGAATATCATTTGTGTATTTCCAAGGTTCATGACTATAGTTATATATCCAAAGTACCAACAAGAGTTCTCAGCTCCGATGTCAAATAATAGAATTTAGGCAAGCACTCTTAGTGTCACTTATTTAATATACAATACATGCACATGATACAGGTCGGGGAAAAGTTTATGGATCCTTGCATTAAAGACAAGACAGACTATGGGGCTGGGGGTTTAGCTCAGTGGTTTCACCACCTGCTGCACAAGCACAAGGACCCAAGTTCAATCCCCAGTACCAAAAAAAAAAAAAAAGACAAGACAGACTGGTACTTTTGCCAAATGTGCACTGAGTCAATTAGGACACTGCTCAAAGTTCCTTAAACTTAATGGTTTCCATGAGAATAAGTTTAGATGCAGAACTGTTTACATATCCTAAAGCATCCTCTTCATTTGGTTTCCTGAACTTTTTCTGCATTGCCTTTTCTACAAGTGGTATTAACTGCTGATGTTCTGCTAAAGTCTGTAATAATTTCATAATGAAAGGCAGATAATTGTGCTTCCTTCTGATATTTTTAATCTTGTATCTTTTCAATTTTTGTACTTCTTCAATAAGCATCTGATTTTTGGCAACTTCTGACTGATTAGCACTTAGCATATTATTACGCTGATCTGTACCCATAGGTTCCTCCTCTGCAAGTTGTCTTTGTAACGCTGCTATCTTCTGTTCATATATCATTTTTCTGTCAGACACAATTTAACATTAAGTTAAATCAAATTTCACCTTCATTGTACTTTTGTATCCTTTTTTCTATGACTGACTTTAGTGCACTAATCAAGTCATCTTGATTGCATGCACCTAAATCAATTGGTCCAAGGACCTTAATCCATCCAATTCATATAGCTTCCATTAACAGGAACATAACTGACAAAGTGAAAAGCATCTTCTTCTTTGGCTGATGTCTTTGCATCAAATTCAAGCATTTGTTTTCTGGCAAAACTATTGTGCACTTGTTGACTCACATCTGAATTACTCAGTGCCAAACCTTTCATAGCTGCATCAAAACTTTGTGAAAATTCTTTAAACTCTGACAATGTCTTTCTTTCTTTTTTTTTTTTTTGGTGCCAGGGATCAAACTTGAGACCTTGCGCTTGCGAGACAGGCGCCAGAACCACTGAGCTAAATCCCTGGCCCCTGACAATGTCTTTCTTAAATGGACACCTTGATGGGTGTAGTTCAGTAACACACTGACAATGGCTTGAGTCGCACAAGCCTTATTAATTACCTGTTTGGCAAAAATAATGTGTCAAGTCTGGAGTCCTAAACCACAGAACCTACCGGTTCTTCTTCTGGCTGCCACTTGATAAGGAAAATTAACCCGTGAACTGGCTTTAATTTTTCAAAATTCTCAGGCTCTAAACTTTGTATTTCATCTGCTTGGGCACCTTGGCAACCAAATCCTTTAATGATCTTTAAGGCCCTGGGGTTGCTTTCCATGATGCACCACTCCCCGAATTGCCTATTATGGCCTGGGCCACACATCGCTCCACTCCATTCTTGCATCCCCCCAACCCCAACCAGCTGTCGCTGGCCATAGTTTACAGCAAACCCACCGCAGAGCTTGTATGTGATTTTTAATTTTTAAAATTATCTAAGAGTTTCAGATCTTCATCCCTGGGATTCTGAAATTTCTTATGTGGTATTTATTTATTGTACATGAATTCATTGTGGCCATTAGTTCTTGGAAATTTTATAATATTTTTTAAAAACTAAGCTGTACCAGCTGGGCACAGTGGTATATACCTGTAGTCCCAGCTATTTGGCAAGCAGAGGCAAAGCTCAGGAATTTGAGGCCAGCTTAAGCAACGTGGTGAAACTCTGCCTAGTTTTTGTTGTTTTGTCTTTTGGTGCTGGGCATTGAACCTAAGATCTTACACATGCCTAGGTAAGAGCACTACCACTGAACTATGCTCTCATCCCCATCTCTTTCGGTCAATCAATCAATAAAATAGCTTGTTCTTCTCTTATATCTTTGTTCTTCAGTAATATCTTTCAATCAAGTGTACCCTAGTGTGAGACTTATGTTTTGTTACATTTTCCCTCCTATTACTCACTTTATTGTCTTTTTGTTCTACTTTCTCAGTGATTTTCTTCAATTTTCTATTCCAACTATGCTGCTGAAATTTTTGTTTCAGTTCTCTTGTGGTGGTTGCCTACCCCATACAGATACTAGGGATTATTTAATCCAAGGCCTTGGCACTGGGCTGTATTCTCACTTCTTTTTTATTTTATTTTTTTTATTTTTGAGACTAGATCTCACTAAGTTGCCCAGGCTAGGCTCAAACTTATTGATCCTCCTGCCTCAGCATCCCAAGATAGCGGGAATATCAAGCACGCAACACCACACCTGGCTGTCTCCTATGTTTTGTTAATTGGAGCTCTTTTCTGTTTTTTATTCTTTTATAATACCCTCATGTAGGTACTACATCTCATGAATATGCTATCATTTTTGTCTCTCTTTTTTGTTTATTTTTGTTTTTTTGAGACAGGCTTTCTCTATGTAGCTCAGGCTGGCCTCAAACTCATGACAATCCTCCTGCCACAGCCTCCCGAGCGCTGGATTACAGGCGTGCACTACCACTCCTGGTTTAGAAACATTTTTGGCGAGGTGGGGGGGGTGGTACTGGGGATCGAACTTGGGACCTTGCACTTGCAAGGCAAGCAACAGCACCACTTAGAAACATTTTAAATATATTTTTTTCTTCTGTTTCCTGTGTTGTGTATCTTCTCTTTGAGTTTCTTTCTCCCCTCCCCCCTTTTTGGCATTTTGTTTGTTGGTCTCATATTTATTTATTTATTTATTTTTTAGTACCAGGGATCGAATTTAGGACCTTGTGCTTGCAAGCCAGGCGGCAGCACCACTGAGCTAAATCCCGGGCTGTTGCTCCCATATTTCATGTCATGGAGGCTTCCCCCAAACGTGTGGAGGCACTCTGTGGATGCAGGGAGGTTAGTTAGCAGCTGTAGGGTGTTGGTGGGGTAGTTCAGGAGTCCATGTCACAGAATGCCTGCTTTTCTTCACCTGCCTCTGGGAAGCAGCCTTATAAAGACATGCTTCCATTACACCAGCACTCGCTAGTCTGGATTCTGTTCAGTTGAATTTCTCCAAGTAGTAATCTTCAGTTTCCTTTAGTGAGAAATCAAGAGATAAAGACGATTTTATAACCTACTATGCTATCTTTATTGTTTTAATCCTTATCATCTACATTTTCAAATTGTTTGATATTTATGAAAGGTAATTTACCAAAAAGTTACAATTTTAGAATTTCTTTTTTTTTTAATTTTAGAATTTCTATTGCATGTTCTGTTTTCCTATCTGAGTCCATGCCATATTCTGATAAATTAACTGAATATACAAATTGTTAATCTTTAGATCATACTTTAGACTGTCTCTAGCTTACCTAAAGTTGACAATGTAAGTCAACCTTAGAATATCAGGAGAGGACTGTGACCATACCATCCTGAACACGCCCGATCTCGTATGATCTCAGAAGCTAAGCAGAGTTGGCCCTGGTTAGTACTTGGATGGGAGAATTTCAGGAGAGTGCTGGACATGATAATGATCATAGGTCTGAAACTTACATTTCATGATTTTGGAATATATTGCTATATTGCTGACTCTTACTGAAGTTACTTAAACTATACAAAAGTTTGCTAGTTGACAGGTAAGTGCACATTGATGACACGGTGTTACACTATTATTTACTGTGTTGTATGGTTGTTTGCTTTGTAGCGCACAGACTGCAGAGCTGTAATTAGCACCATGGAAGGGAGCACCTTAGACAGCAATGGATTTTCTCTCCACATCGGTTTGTCTAATGCGTATCTCCCAAGAATGTGGGTTGAAAAACATCCAGAAAAAGAAAGTGAGGTATACTCTTTCTTTCTTAGAAGTATGAGACACTATTGGAAAAATGCTTCAGAATAAATATAAGCTTGGAAATTATTGATAGACCTGAAAAACCAGCATTATCTAGTGAACTCTGATTCTCTAAGATTCCTCAATCAAAAATATTTATGTCAGGAATCACAGACTCATGCCTCTTCATAGTAGCTTACCCTACGATGTATGGTATATTTTTATTTTTAATTTTCCTCCCTTTTCCCTTCCTTTCTATTCAGCCCAAACTCACTCTGCAGAGCCCATTTTTTCCCCTACCCTTCTGGTTTTTTCCTACCTTTAATAAATGTAAAACTATGGCTGGGGATTTAGCTCAGTGGTTCTGCTGCCTACCTCGAAAGCACAAGGTCCCGAGTTCGAACCCCAGTACCAAAAAACAAAACAAATAAAAAAACACAAATAAATGTGAAACTTTGCCACCATTCCAAAAAAAAAAGGTCACAGGGCCAAGGATTTATCTCAGTGTGTACCACCTGCCTAGCAAGTTCAAGGTCCCAAGTTCCATCCTAGGTAACCCCACCCCTCTCAAAAAAAATCACAAAGTTCTGCTGGGCATGCCTGTAATCCCAGCACTTAGGAGGCTGAGGCAGGAGGATCATTGCAAATTCGAGGCCAACCTGAACCATATACAGTAGTGAAATCCTGTCTCAAAAAAACGAATGAATAATAACTCAGTGATATGCACAGGCCATGAGTTCCATCAGTGCTCAATACCACTGAGGGTGGGGGAATCACAGACTTCTGAGGCTTCAGCCAAAAGGTTTGTGTAGCCTATTTCCCTATGTAAAGATTATAGTTTTTACCTTAATCTCCTCTAAAAAGAAAATCTGTCATTAGATATTAACCTGTAATGGCTGATAGTCTGTATATTTTTTAAATAGTGGAAAATTATAAGACTATTTAATGTGGTTGTAACAAAGGGTAGCTTTATTTTATTTTTCACAATATGCCCTGACAGAGGAACGAAAAACAGGAGAGACAGAGAATATCTTTGAGGAGGGTTTGGGAACCCTACTGAAATGGAGCCCTGAACTGACTCAGACTCCCAGATTTATTGAGGAACAACAAAGGCATAGAGTTTTAGTGAGCACAGGTATTTGTTTTAGGTAGCAAGGCAGGCAAGGAACGCATGGTGACAGTTTGGCCAAATAATTAACTATTATCTTAATTGTCCCCTAGGGAGCTTCCTTGTTTTCCCGTAAGGCCCATCTCTGCTGAAGTTGGCAAAATATCCCATCTTCAAGATGTTCTGGCTCCTTGGAGTTAGCAGTCTTCTACCTGCTGAGTCAACCCGAGCAGACATTGACCTGTTGGGTGTCATGAGGAACTCCACAACAATATTGATATTAAACCCGGGGCCTTTCACACTGACCTTTTTTATTTTAGGGATAGGGTCCTGCTAAATTGCCCACATTGAGCTCACACTTAGGATCCTCCTGCCTCAGCTTCGCATAGTATATACCACCACGCCTGGCTAGAATTGCTTCTTCTCTTAGAATAAAAACTGAAACATGAGGGGTAGTAATTGTATTTTCATATTGTGGTTAATTAAGAGGTACCTGTATATCTTTTAGTGATCACGGTGAGATCCTTTTGTAGGGGCGGGGGTGTTGAAACAGGGTCTCCGTATGTAGTTCAGGCTGGCCTTGAATTCACTATGTAGCCCAGGCTGGCCTCAAACTCATGGAGATCCCCCTGCCTCAGCCTTCTAAGTGCTGGGATTAAAGGCGTTCACTACCATGCCTGGCTTATATTTCTTTTAGAATAGTGTATCTGTATAAGAGAGGCATACTATATATTCATTTTATAACATTGATGCCAAATGATTTTTCACAGATTAATTCTGTATTAATTCCTGACCTCTCAGAAGTTTATTTCTTTTACATTGGAATATCTGGCTCTACCATTTTATTCTTTATATGAAGTCCTACTAGACTGTCTTATTGTTGAATATTTTTCTTTTTTAGGGTTAGTTTACCTTACTGGAAAGTTTTAGAATTTACAAGTAGTTGTTTTCCAGATTGAGTTACAAGAAGCTTTGACCGAGCATCTTTCTCTCCTTTTAGGCTTGCATGCTTGTCTTTCAACCTGATCTCGATGCCACCCTCCCTGGCCCAGCCAACAAAAATGAAGTGGTTATTTGTCTTGATTGCTCCAATTCCATGGAGGGTGTAACATTCACACAAGCCAAGCAAATTGCCTTGTATGCACTGTCCTTGGTGGGTGAGGAACAAAAAGTAAATGTCGTCCAGTTTGGCACAAGTAAGTATGTGTTGTCCCCAGTGCCACGTGTGCTTCTTCCTTAACACAAGCGCATGCTGTGTAAACTGATGACTCTTAGCACCACACCTTGTTTGGGGAGTGGGAGGTAGCCAAGCACAAGCATAAGCACAATAGCTCTGCGGCCAAGGGCAAGGCACTGTTCAATGATGGAGCTTGGCTGGCATGCTCCTTGGGTTCCATCCCTAGCACCACAGAGCGGGGAAGAAAACTCTGTGGAGCCAGATCCCCTGGGTCCAGATCCCACCTGTCACCTTGTGCAAGCCACTGGAACTCTGGGTCCCTTTACTCCTCATCTGCAGTCTGGGGTAACAGTCCTGCCTCATAGTATTGTTGTGAGGACTGAGCTAATGTATGGAAAGGACTTAAAACAAGGCTCATTCTGTAGTAGGAGAGACATAAATATTACTACTCTTATTATCAACTGAACCAAATGCAGGACCCTTGGTCTCTGGGTAGGAAGGTCCCAGGAATGAGGCCAGACACAGTAAAGTGCATAACGTACATACTCTAGAATGTACTGTGGTGAGCTTTATACATTAAAATGATCACATAGAGGGCTGGGGATGAAGCTCAGTGGCGCAGTGCCTTCCTGGCAAGCACAAGGTCCTGAGTTTGATCCCCTTTACCAAAAAAGACAATGATCACACAGATTTCTAAAGAGAAAAGTATGTACATAAATATATAGTATTCTTTATAGTGGCAGCGGTGGTATAAAGTAGCATTATTGTTTGCTCATAGTCAATCCAGTGAATGTTTAATTGAACCACTTCATGCCAATCTTATCATACAGGTTACAAAGAGTTATTTTCATATCCTAAGCACATCACAAACAGCAATGTGCCAACAGAGTTCATTAAGGTAAGACAACCCTCTCTATCCCTATGTCGTAGATGTGTTAGCTTTCCAATATTGTAACAAATACCTGAGATAAATCAACTTATAAGGAGAGAAAGTTTATTTTCAGAGAAGTCTGGTCTTTTGGACCTTTTGCTTCGGCCCTGTGGCAGTACAGTGTATCGTGGTGGAATGAGACTGTTCACTTCATGGTGTCTGGAAAGCAGAGGTACAGAAAGGGTCCCATATGCCCATGAAGGGTACTTCCCCAGTGGTTACTGTCTTTCTAGTAGGCCCCACCTCCCAAAGGTTCTGCCTCCCAGTAGCACTGCCAGGTGGTGACCAAGCCTTCAACACATGGGCCTTGGGGGACACTTATCGAAACCACAGCGGTGGCTTTGTATAATAATAAAACGAAAATGATTAGTAAGAAAATTGGAATTTTTTTTTTTTGGTTTTTTGAGACAGGATCTTGCTTTGTAGTTCAGGCTGGACTTGAACTCAGTATGTAGCCCAGGCCAGCCTTGAACTCACAGTGATCCTCCTGCCTCTGCCTCCCAAGTGTTGGGATTACAGGCGTGCACCACCATGCCTGGCCAAAAAATTTGAAATTAAAAAATAAAAAGAGAAGAATTGACCATGGTCCCAGCACTGATAGGATCAGCTTAGCATGCTGAGGTTTTCTTCAGTCCCTTGTTTTCTGTCCCTCAGTCTAGAGAAAGCGGAGAACAGTCACCACCTCAGTCCCAGCGGCCCACCCAGTGGTGGTACAATGGCTGTTTTTTCCCAGCACGATCATTCTTTGAATGAATGCCCAGCAATGATGATATGATTATCATGGTCCATGAAATAACCTAGAAGGATGTGACTGTAGTTGTTCCGCAAATGTATAATTTGGAAAAAATTTTTTCATGGCCATGTAGCTTTAAACCCTCCCTAGGAGACATATTTCAGTGAAGGTTATCATGAAGGGCGACCACACCCCAGTGAGTAATGATCTTTAACTTGATGTCCTGTAGTCTGCTACACCTACCATGGGGAACACAGACTTCTGGAAAACACTCCGATACTTGGGTTTACTGTACCCTTCTCAAGGAGTCCGGAATGTCCTCCTCATATCTGATGGGCACCTCCAGAATGAGAGTCTGACACTGAAGCTTGTAAAGAGAAATGTCCTCCATACCAGGCTGTTCACCTGTGGGACTGGGTAAGTCAGAGACCTGTTGTCCACCCAGTGCAAAGGCTATCTGCAGGCAGGGATTGATTGATTGAATTGATTTCTTTCTTTCTTTCTTTGTTTTTTTTTTTTGTACCAGGGATTGAACTCGGGACCTTGCGCTTGCGAGGCAGACAGCAGAACCACTGAGCAAAATCTCCAGCCCACTTTCATTTGTCTTTTGAGGCAGCATCTTACCTTGTAGTTCAGGCGGCCTCTAAATTATAGAGATCCTCTTGTCTCAGCCTCCTGAGTGCTGGGATTACAGGCATGAACCACCATGCCTGGCTTGGGCAGGTCTTTTATTTGACTTGCACAGGAATTTTAGAAGTTGGGAAGCTGATATAAGTACATAATAGAATCCATTATCACGGAGGGGCTGAACTCTGGGCTCTGGGCCAGACTGCCTGGATCTCAAATGAGCCACTCATTTGTTAACTGTGACCTTGGGTAAATTGTTCAACATGTCCTCTGTAAAATGAAGGTGAATATGAAAATACCTATTAGGTTATAGCAGTGGTGGCAAACCCATGGCACATGTGTTACTATGTTTTTCTTTTAAGACAAAAGATGTTAATGTAGAGTTATTTTTTCTAAACTGAAAACCTCAGTATTCAAGTTTAGTTGCAGTGTTGGCACTTTGCAATTAAAAAATGAGCTTTAGCTTGTAGTTTGCCACTCAGTCTCTAACAGGTTTGCCATCAGAGTTACAGGATTACTAAAGGTTATTATTTTGCATAACAGTCAAGTGTGCAGCCCATCCCACACAGCCTGGTATAGCTCCTGCTGGCTGACTGGACTCAGCAGGCACTGCATCCCTCTCCCCTGCCTTGCTCCCTCTTGTCTCTGAGCTGGCTGCTGTGAGCATTTGCATTTCCAAACCTGGTAGTGTGAATAGAATCTTTTCTAAGGGAGGCTGAGACTCCATAACTGTTGGAATTACTCCCTCTCCCAAAGACATCCACATAGAGAAAACAAAGAGCTTAGGGGGCTTCCTGCTATTTTTGCAGAGCAGCAGCCCAGCAGATGTCTCTGTTCCTCAGTACACTGCTGGGGGTTCCTGCCCTGTCTCTGAGTGAGCCCCAACTTCCAACTACTTGGTGCTCTAGGAGCCAGGGCACCCATGTGCTCCCTAGAGCCCACCCCTCACAGGCCTCTGTGGCTCCTGATACCCCCACAGTGTCCCTACCTCTTGTCCACCTTACTGCTGAGCTTGCAGCAGCACGTGGGATGCAGATACCTGTTCCTGCCTTCCTTGCTGAGAGCCCATCCAGAGACTTACTAAATCACTAAATGGGTCTTACTAAATCACTAAATGACCAGGCTGTGCTCCAATTTATAACCCTTCACCACAGCCACCCAAAGAGACAGGCTTGGGCCACCACCACCACACTGGGCCAGGAGTTCTTATGGTCTTATGTATTGAGAGAAACTAAGACACTGCCATTTAAATGTCAAAGATGAAAAAATGATATTCTTTGCCAGAGTAAGAGTTACTTGGCTTTTTATTTGTTTGAGTGAAGATCTCACTGTGTTGCCTGTGCCGGTCAAAAACTCCTGGTTCAGCCAGGCATGGTGGCACATGTCTGTAATCCTAGCATTTGGGAGGCTGAGGCAGGAGGACTACCAAGAGTTAGAGACCAGCCTGGACTACATAGTGAGTTCAACGCTAGCCTGAACTATAAAGCAAGACCTTGTCTCAAAAAAAGAAAAATGAACAAACAAAAAAATTTCTGGTTCAAGTGACCCTCCTGGCTTAAGCCTCCCACACAACTGGGACTGCAGGTGTGAACCACACACATGGTTGAGAGTTGTTTCTTTATAGCTTTTGGTATGCAGATGTATGTCAATTTTTTTTTTTTTGTACTGGGGATCGAACTCGGGACCTTGCGCTTTCACACAGGCAGGGCAGCGAAACTGCTAAGCTAAATCCCCGGCCCCATGTATGTCAAATATTAAGATGTGGGTTTCATTTACTCTTGCTAGTTCTTGGCCTTTGGCATCAAATTCAGGTAATTTTGACATTTATTGAAACTAGGTTGATATCTTTAGCAAATATCATTCTGATACCGTTTTGGGTTGTTTGTTTTTAAATACTATATCTTGATTGATTAATTGATTGATTGACAGATTGATTAATTGAGCTGGGGATTGAGGCCAGGATCTCACGCATGCTAGGCAAGCTGTATACCTATCATCCCCAGCCCCATATTAACTCTAACCTCAGCTACAGAGGAGTAAATCCTTCTTCATGCAGTGGCTCTCCCGTAAAGCTGTGAGTTTTCTCAACATTGTTAACATGTACTTCAAAAACGTGCCTAGCACATCTGATGTCCAGTTCTTGGAGGATGCTGGAAGTAATGCGGAAGTGGATGAGTCTTTGTTCCAGGAACTGGATGACTTGGAGCTGGAGGATGCTGAGGACGACCCAGACCACAACCCCGCTGGCCGAGGGAGTGGCTCAGAGGACCGAGGCACCATCTCCGGAGAGCTCCACAGCCACAGCATCTGTGGCTGTGCTGAGAGGCTTTTAATGTTCTTTTCTTTTTTTTCTAAGAAAAAATAACTCTCAGGAGACTATTCTTCTGATAACTTTCACCATTCAACTTAATAAACTGACCCTAAAACTTCAAAAAAAAATGTGCCTAAAATGTGTGGAAAATTAAGCCGTGAAATGTGTTCAGTCCTACAGCCAATCGTCACGTCTTAAGGAACTTGGCCCAGTGTGGTGCTGGAGTGTTTGAATACTTTAACTCAAGATCCGAACACAGCTGGAAAAAACAGGTATGGTTTTAAACATCTTATTTCTAGTTATGTAGTTACATGTGGAAATATTGTCTTCTTGGCAGTAACTTCTGTATTCTCATGAATAAATAGAGACGCTATTCAGATTCAAAAGCTGCCAAAGATGTGAACCTTACCCTTAGGTTGTGCTAATTTTGTAGTTAGCCAGAATATAGTGGTTACTCAACTAATAGTTTGATTTCTCCTTATAATGACATGTCATAGATTAATTTTTTTCTCTTTTAAAAATGTTTTATTTTGAGACAAGGTCTCACCAAGTTACTAAATTGTGCAACGTGGGGTTAAACTTGTGATTCTTCTGCCTCAGCTTTCCAGAGTGCTGGGATGACAGGCATGCAGCATCCTGCTGGCTCATAGATGAAATTTTTTATATGAAGTATACAGTCCACCCTTCCTATCCATGGGTTGTACATCCAGGGTTTCAACCAAGTACAGATGAGAAAAGATTTTTTTAAAGTTTGCGTCTGTTCTAAACATATACAAACATTTAATTGACAGTATTCCCTGAACTGTATGACAACTGTTTACATAGCATTTACACGGTATCAGGTAGTATATGTAATGTAAAGATGATTAAAAGTATGATGGAGGGTGTTCATAGATTCTAGCAAATATGATACCTCTTTCTATGAGGCATTTGAGCATCTTCAGATTTGGTGTCTGAGGAATCCTAGCACTCATACCCTACAGATCCTGAAGATAGGCTGTATGCTGGGTTTCAGTTTTTATTCTGGTAAAAGATACATAAGCTCTATCATTTTAACCTTTTTTTTTCCTTTTGTGATGGGGATCAAACTCAGAGGCTTGCACATGCTAGCAAGTGCTCCACTACTGAGCTACCTCCCCAGCCATTTTTCAGTGTGCAGTTTAATGGTGTAGAGTACCTACACCATGGTTGTAGTGTACCACAACCATCCCTCCATCTCGCTCAGAACTTTTTCATCATGCCAAACAAAAACTGTAGCCACCAAACAGTAACTCCACATTGCCTCCTTCTATAGCCTCTACTCTCTGTTCTGTCTCTGTGAATTTGCCTGTTAACTGTCTCATATAAGTGGAACCTTAAAACCTTTGTCTCTTTGGATATCAAATTTTTACCATTCATCCATTAGTGGACCCTTGGGTTCTTGTGAATGATTTTGCGGGAGATTTAGCGTACAAGTGTCCATTAGTTCCTGTGTTCAATTCTGGTTATGTACCCAGGGGCGGAATTACTTGATCTGTGGTAATTCTGTTCAATTTTTTTGTACCAGGGGTCGAACTGTGGACCTGTGGACCTTGCACTTGTGAGGCAGATGCAGTGCCACTGAGCTAAATCCCTGGCCCCTCTGTTTAATTTGTTTTTTTAGGATCTGCTATTCCATCTTCCACAGCAGCTGCACCATTTCACATTCCCAGCATGTGCCTTCCCTGATTCTCATTATTTCCCATTTTTGTTTTTAATAGCCATCCTATCAAGTTAGAACTCATATCTTCTTGTTGGGTTTTTTTTTTGTTTTTTTTTTGTACCAGGGATCGAACTCTGGCCCTGGTGCTTGTGAGGCAGGTGGTGGAACCACTGAGCTAAATCACCAGCCCGAAGTCATATCTTCTTGATTGCATGATGACTATGATGTTGGCCACCTTTTTCTATGTATCTTGACCATTTGCATGTCTTTGGAGAAATGTCTATTCAAGTGCTTTGTTTATAGGATTAATTTTTATAACTGGAATCTACTCTTATTGAAGCTACATTTTGGTACTAATTTTAGGATATTTTAAAATGTTTCCACCTGTTGTTCTTTTTGGCTTTTTTTGAGACAGCATCTCACTGTATAGCCCACACTGGTCTCAAACAGCAGTTCTCCTGCCTCAGCCTCCCAAGTGCTGGGATTCCAGGTGTGAGCCACCATACCTGGCTTTTTAAGGATGCTTTGCAAATTTAAATGATGTGATAGTACCATTAATAAAAATTCTATTTAAAATCTCTTTGGTCTATCCCCGGTACCAAAAATATAAAAAATAAAAAATAAAATCTCTTTGGGAAATTCCCCTGTAGCAGGAAGAAGGGGTGGGGGGAGGGGAACAATAACCAAAGAGCTGGAAAATCCCGATGGGATAGAAAGTAATTTTCAGCGGTTACTTTACTTTTTTTTGTTGGTACTGAGAATTGAACCCAGCACCTTTGCACTGAGCTATGTCCCCGACACCACCACCTTTCTTTTTTGAGACAAGGTCTCACTAAATTGCTAAATTGCCTAAGCTGGGTTTGAACTTGTGATCCTCCTACCTCACCTTCCCAGAGTGCTGGGATTATAGGCATGTACCACTATGCCCAGATAAGTTACTACTTTTTAGATATAACATTAAGAGAAATAACTTATGTTTTATTGATAGATAGAAGACCAAATGAATAGGTTACATTCCCCAAGTTGCCACTCTGTCTCCATCAAATGGCAGCAACTTAGTGCAGATGCACAGGAGCCCCTGCAGGCCCCAGCCCAGGTTCCGTCCTTGTTCCACAATGATCGACTCCTTGTATATGGATTGATTTCTCATTGCATGCAGGTAAGAGGATGCATTGTTTGTTGTGCTGTGGGAAGAACAATGTTTCTTGCATATGTTCTTGTTTTTTTTCCCTCTCTCTCTGGCTGGGAGATTTTTCTGTTCTGGGAATGTAGCTTAAGAGGTTTCTGGTGTCCACTGAGAGGAAGAGGTTGTCATTGAAAGACTCTGTTACATTAACCAAGGCACTGTATAGTAGAGAAGCTAATGAGGAACTAATTTTTTTCCACTTCAGGCAACTCTGTGTGCACTAATTCAAGAGAAGGAAATTTGTTCAATGGTTTCAACTACTGAGCTTCAGAAGACAACTGGGACTGTAAGGTTCAAAATTTAAACTATGGGGCTGGGGATATAGCTCATTGGTAGCATGCTGGCCTAGTATCCCAAGATCTTGGGCTCATTCACCAGCACTGCCAAAGAAAAAGAAAAAAAATTTAAACTATGGGCTAAAAGTTGTAATTTTACATTTACATGTCGGAAGACCCTTCCGGTCTTCTCCATTCTTCATCTGGGCTCCCTGGTCTGGGTGTGTCCCTGAGGGCATCAGTGGGTGTGTATAACTGCAATGCAATATGGGATTTTATGTGAAACCTTTTACAGGGAGTTTCAGAGATGCTTGTGACTCAATAAAGGTTAAGTGCTACTGATCCCTTATGTACTTAAAAGTATTAATTATAACAGTACTTAGCCAAGAGGAAACCACAATATATTGAATTTTTTTTTTCACTTTTGGATTATGAAAGCAAAAACTCCTATCTCCTCTTTCCTCACAACACTTCCATCTTCAGATGTGTTTTCCCCACACTAATTCCTGACACCAGATGTATGTGCTTCATTTCCACTCAGTTCTGATGCTGTTTGCCCAGAGATAGCAGATTCCCCAGGGAAAGGTCTCAGTTCAACAAGATTTCCCCAGTCCAAATGCCAATGGAAGGCAATGGATTCTCAGGTTGCCCACAGTTCTGTCTGAGTTGGATACAAGTTGCAGGTTCCCTCAATCCTTCCTCAGGTTCAGTAATTTGCTGTAACAATTCACAGAACTCAAGAAAAGTTTACTTTCTATTACAGGTTTATTGCTCTAAAGGACAAAATTATAACAATTTAAAGATCTTTTTGGTACCGGGGATCGAACTCAGGTCCTTGCACTTACCAGGCAGGTGGTGGAACCACTGAGCTAAATCCCCAGCCCAAACAATTTAAAGATCTTAATTGGCTTTATTTGCTATTCTAGGATCAGTCAACACTTCCTTTCATAGAACAGAATAAATATTCCAGTGAGCTGAGCAGAAGAGGTTATATTTACAGACTGAGAAGGACTGAAGAAAGCAAAACCAAAGGCGAGGAAGCAGATCAGTCATTTCAAAGTTACTTTCCTGGGTCGGGGTGTAGCTCAGTGGTAGTGCTGCTTATTTTACTTTTTTGGTGTAAGGATGAAAAACAGGAAACTGTTTTTCAGTTCCCTGTTTTTGTAACTGGCCTGTGTGGGGAACTTGATTGTTTTTTGTCATTTTTCCTGGTTTCTTGGAAGGCCAGATAACACCATTTTCATTTTGCATCTGGTCTGCTGGGGCCTAGTACAAGAGTTTAGACCAAAACAATGGATTCTTGCACATTTTGACAGAACCTTGGAGAAATCTCTGTATTTCTTTAAAAATTAGATCTAATGAGGAAATAAGGTAAAAGAATTACATTGGGATAAAGTCTCCTTCTTTATTTTTTTTTTGGTACTGGGGACCAAACTCGGGACCTCGAGCTTGTGAGCCAGGCAGCAGAACCATTGAACTAAATCCCCAGCCCTCCTTCTTTAAAATTGTAGTCTTTAAAGCTGTACTTCCTCTGTGAGTGGTAGGCTTGTCAATGACAGAATCACAAGAGCTGGAGTTCCTGAGAACAAACATGGCGTTGCATTGTGAGGTCATGGTGAACATGCCCCAGGCCCTGCATGGCCCCCGGTGGAGTTCATATGTGGGTGGGAATCCTGCCACCAAGCTGGCTCTTGCTGAAGTAGAAGAGCAGTTTTAAAGTTCTTAAATGAATTGAATTAGCAAAATAGTCTTATACAGAAAAAACAAAGCACCAGGAACAGAAAACAGATGAGTGGTTGCAAGCCTAGGGAAACTGCAAAGGGGTCCCAGGGACATTTCAGAGTGAGGAGGATGGGCCAGATCTTCATTTCAGTGCTGGCCACACAGCTCTGTACAACCAGTTCACTCGCCAGCTGCACACTTTAAAGGAGTGAATTCACTGCTTGTAAGTTAGTATACTTCAGCTTTTAAAGGTCTCCTTAAGTCATTAATTAAGAGCCATCCGATCTTTTTTTTTTTTTCCTTTGCTGCTTAAATATAGATGATTCACAAGTTGGCAGCGAGAGCACTCATCCGAGATTTTGAAGACGGCATTCTCCACAAAGATGAAGCCAACCACGAGGTATGTTCTTTTCTTAGTAGAAACCAGTATGCATTGTTCTAGATGACTCTTTTTTGTTTGTGGGGCCTTACTCTGTAGGCCAGGCTGGCCCTGAACTCATGATGATCCTTTTGCCTCAGCCTCCAAAACACTGGGGTTACAGGCATGCACCACCACACCCAGCTGTCCTAGGTCACTCTTCAGTTGATGTTCCCTTGGAAACGTAAAGTGAGGCTAGCTGGTTAGAGAGGAAGGTAGGATCAGGCAGTCATCACTGTACTTGTGACATCTGTTCTGGGTGTTCAATGACTGTTTATTAACTGAGTTAATGAAAGAACTAATGTCAGTGGTTTCCGAAGAATTCTGTGATGTTCTGCCCATCAGCACGAGCCCAGAGGAAGGTCCAGGCATGCTCACTGAGGGCCCATAACAGAGGTGCTCTCAGATCCCCTCCCACCTTCCTGAAGAAAGGACCCAGAGGCAGGGTACACGGCCAGCTGCCCAAGGATCTGAGGCAGAGTGGAGGAGCCCCTTGCACCCTCCTTGCTGTGCAGAGTAAGGCCCTGCCTGGCTTCTTCCCCTCTCAGTCAGACACCATAGTGCTCCACCCAGTGTCTGAGAAGCCACAGACAGACTTGCCATAGATCATCAACTTTTAGATTGTTCGATACACTTTTAGTTAGTTGTACATAGCTAAATAGAAATGCATATAACAAAACATGGTTTCATTTCTTTTATTCTGTCCTAGATGAAGAAACAAATTATGAAATCTCTGATTATTAAACTCAGTAAAGAAAACTCTCTCATAACACAATTTACAAGCTTTGTGGCAATTGAGAAAAGGGTATGTATTATTGTGAATTCAAAGTTAAACTATTTATGTTTACACATTAAGAAAGTCACTCTTAAAAAACAAAAAAAAGAAAGTCACTCTTGCTGTCAACTTTGATGACATAGCCCAGGCCAGCCTACAAAGGGCAGGTTAGGTGGAGGCCAGCAAGCCTCAGGAGCCAGTGTCCCCACGGAGGAGTGCCTTTGTGCTAGGACCTAAAATAATTTCTACATGAGTTGCATCTGCTAGCATTTTTTGTAAAGGGTCTCACTGTGTAGTTCAGGCTGCCCTTGAACTTGCAGTGATCCTCCTGCCTCGGCCTCCTGAGTGCTGGGATTAGAGGTGTGAACTACCTCACCCAGCTAGCATTTTAATGGCTTAATTATTAATGAGCTACATGTATATTTTAGATAGACTCTAGTTTTGTTACATTTTTGGTACTTGTCATCTTTTATTAATCCATCACCCTCAAAAATAGTCCCAGGGTTCCCCATCCACAGAAGACCCCTTTGCCTTCATAAGTTTGAGGACTTAGCGAAGTCTTGGCTGAGCATTTCCTGAAGAGTGCTCTGCTTTCCTTATTTGCATACCCGTGGCCAGGGACACATGGTATAATCTTACACTCTGTGTTGGGCAATTTTCCATTGCTGTAATAAAATAACTAAGAGAAACAAAAGAGGAAACGTTTTTTTTAACTCACAATTTTCAAGCTTTCTGTCTGTGGCTGCTTGGCCTTACCACCCTGGGCCTTGAGCAGGGCAGCACATCATGGCGGAGAGCATATGTGGCAGAACTGAGTGGCTCCCCTCAGGGCAGCCAGGAACCAGCGAGGCAGGGAAAGAGCACATGCTGATGGGCTTCCTCCTGCTTTGGTTCCATCAGAGACCCCAGCCTATTGAGTGGTGCTGCCCACATTCAGGGAAAGTCTCCCACTCAGTTTGCTATCCCACGTGGCAGTGGTGTCTGGAAGCCCCTCTCAGACACCCAGAAGTGTGCTTCACTAATTCCCTAGGCATCTCTCAATCTATTCAATCAAGTTGACAATGAAGATTAACCATCGCATACCCAAGTATTCCAAACCCAGCTTCCAGGAGGCTTTAGAGTATGTGATAATGATTTGTTAATGTCTTTTTTTAAAAAACCAATCTTGATTTAATACAGGATGGTAATGAGTTGCCTTTTCCTAATACTCCAAATATTTTGGAATTGATTGACAAAGAAGATGTAGACTTTCTGCCATACATGAGTTGGCAGGAGGAGCAAGAAGAGGCTGACATGATGCAGGTAAATGTGTTGCTACCAAATGCAGCCATTCGTTGCCTAACGATGAGGCTGTGTTCTGAGAAGTACATCAAGTAACTTTGTAGTTGTGCGCACATCCTAGAATAGAGCCCTGCAAACCTAGAAGGTGGAGGTCCAACCCTGGAGACAGACTCTCAATACAATCAGGAGACGCAGCAGACATGAGCTGCTGGCACAGCATAGCAGACTGTGCACAGTTAACTTTAAATTGTATTGATTGATGGACAAATGATTGGGATTGAATCCAGGGCCTTCACACTGAGCTACATCCCCAACCCTCATTTTATTTCTTATTTTGAGATAGGGTCTCCCTAAGTCACTGACTTGCAGTCTGGGCTTGATGTTTGATCTTTCTGCCTCAGCCTCCCAGAGCACTGGGATTACAAGTGAGCCCCCATGTCCAGCTACTTTTAAAAAAAATAAATGGAGTACAGTCTAAAATAATGATATAATAGGTCTATGGACAGCATAGTTCAGTGGTAGAGCACTTGCCTAGCATGTCTTAGGTCCAGGATTCCATCCTTAGTACTGTAAAAAAAAATGATTAAAAACTATAGAAAATACATAAACTGGTAGCATAGTGATTTGTTATCATTATCAAGCATTGTGTACTCTACTTTGGTGGGGGGAGTAGTGAGAATGGAATCCAGGGCTTTCACACTGAACCACAGTCCTGCAGCCTTTTTTATTTTTTATTTCGAAACACAGTCTTACTAAGTTGCCCAGTCTTGGCTTCAATTTGTGATCCTCCTGCCTCAGCCTCCCAGAATGCTGGGATTATAGGTGTGCACCACCATGCCTGGCATGTACTGTACTTTTATGCACTTGGCAGCACTTCGGCTTGTTAATAACAGGATCACCACAAACACATTGGTAATGCTTTGCACTCTGGCATCTGACAACCACAGCGTGATAGGCTGTGGTAATTTACAGCTCTCTTTTAATCTTAAGTTACCAGTGATGTTGATGGGGCATGTCACTGACTGAAGCAGCATGTGTAGTGTGTGACTCTAAACTGATATTGTGCTATTCTCATAGTGCCATAGTGGTGGGGGCACCCTTTGCTAAATAGCCTTTTCACTGCTTGCACATGAAAATGCCTCCTTGGTTGTAGAAAATATTCACGTATTTATAAAATGGTGTTGCATTACTAAGTCAGTCGCCTTGTATAAATCAGGCAGTAAAGTACCCCCCACACACAGAAAAATCCTAAAAAGCCAACTGTGGTTATGCGTCATTCGTGGACAAATTATCTTTTAGGAAACTAGTCATTAGATAATATAAAAGGTAATACAATATAAAATTAGTGATAAAAGTCTTGTCTAAATACATAATCACAACTCACCACTAATACTTCTCAAAGTTTACTGTGGCCCTTATGACCAAAAACCTGATGGAAATTGAGAAATTTGACTTAAATAAAAATCGGATGGCAGCTGGGCATGGTGGCACACATAGTAATCCCAACACTTTGGGAGGCTGAGGCAGGAGGATTGCAAGTTTGAGCCCAGCCTGGACAACTTGGCAGTTTAGCAAGACCCTGTCTCAAAATTAAAAATTTTAAAAAGGGTTGGAGGTGAAGCTTATTATTAAGGGCCTTGGTTCAATCCCAGTACCACTAAAAAAAAAAAAAAAAAAATTATCATGCTAATATTACAAATTCTTCAGATCTTAATACTTCCAGAGCCAAATATGTCAGATGAAAAATATTATTAATTAACTTGATGACTTGAAAGTTTAGCTTGATTTTAACAATACATTTTTTCAGTGAATATCTAACAAAAATATTAAAGTTGCTCCCTAAGGACCCATTTCACTTACCAAAATTTGGCAGAAAGTGGAAATAAGGACTGAAATGTATAATGGATTTTGGGAAATGGGAAGAAAGTGTTCAAATGGGAAGGGGAACAAGGGAGGAGAGAGGGAGAAAGGAAGGAAGAAGAAAAGTGAAAATGGAAGGAAAAATGGAAAACGCTTCTGTACATAGGGAGGGGAGGGGGCTTGGGGGGAATGGGATAAAATAAAATAAAATTTATTTTTAAAAATGTGGCAGAATTCCACATGGAATTACTTTAGCTGAGCTCAGTAACAGAGCAGTGAGAGAGTGCAGAGTGCTGCAGGTCCTGGGCCTGGGGACTGCATCCAGCCAGCTGGAGCTGGAGGAAGCATGGGTTTGTTTGTTGGGTGAGCCCCTCCTTGGCACTCAGTGCCTCTTCTGTTAGGGCACTGGGAGCTGATGCTCAGCGCACTCCTGTGGGAAGCCCAGGCTAGGAACAATGTATCCTCCAAAGTCCCCTGTGTCCCCTTTGGCTCACAAAAATAGATTGAAAACAAGGGAGAGGGGCCAGGGATTTAGCTCAGTGGTGCCGCTGCCTGCCTTGAAAGCACAAGGTCCCAAGTTTGATCCCTGATACCAAAAATTTAAAAAAAACTAAAAAATATATATAAATAGCTCTCTTAAATGGTTAAAATTAGAGGCTAAGTATTTCCAAAATATCTCAAGGAGTAATCATCCTTATAAAACTGAACTTGGCTTACATGCAGCCTTTTAAGGAATACTCTTTACATTTAGACTCACATTTAATAGTAGTAATGCAGCTGTTCCTATTCTCTTTCATTGTACATATTGTTCATATTCTGATAAGATATATTCAGTTATTTTAAATATTTTGAAAATGTTTTCAATTTTCTTGATAGTGCTGTAACACAGTATAAAAGACTGGATTGGCTAACATGCAAGAGTCCTGGGTTTAATCCCCATCATCACAGAAAAAAAAACAACAGACAATGGAATAATTTATTTCAAATTATCAGTTTATTTTAGGGCTAATTTATACACTATGAGTATTGCTCTTGTAAAATCCTGGGCAAGACCCTTCTGTGATCCTATTTCCTCATGTGTAAAATAAAGAGTGTATAAAATTTTGTGATTCCAAGAACAAAGAAAGATCTTTCTGTGTATTGATTGCTGATATTCTTCTCACGTCTCAGGTTGCCTATCTGTTCATCAGGGTGTTTTGCTCGTGTAATCCTGACTGTTTTGAGCATTGGCTCAACATCTCTGCCCACACTGCTAGACCTGACTCTGAAGTCAGGCTCTCAGTTGGCCAACTAATCGACTGCTGGCAAGGTCAAGGGCTGAAAGGGGTGTCTGCTTATTTGTTCACTTTGTTCTGCTTTCCCTTCTTCTCAGCCTCTTTCAGCATTCCCGGAATGGGATGAAAAGCTGCAACTTAAAGGTTTGGCTAAAAGAAGACTTTGGTTATCTACCCCGAAAGATTCTGAAGATTTTGAAGAGATGGTCTTAGGTATGGAAGAGGTGGTACAACCTGTTGCCCTGGAGTCTCAAAGCAGAGATGTGGAAAACCTGTTGGATTTGGCTGAGATGGATTCACCCAGACAAGACGGATTTAAAGCACCATCAGAGACAGCCAGCCGAAAACAAAAGGCTGCGTCCACCTCTCTTTTTGCACCCCCACTTTTGGCTGTCCCTAATACCCATTCTTTTTCCTTCTCTTCTTCCAATGTCCGTCCTCAGGCTTTCGGTTTTTCTGCACCTCCCAGACAGTTTGGACAATCTAGGAGCAGCCATGGCCTTGAGCTTGACGCTGTTCCCAGCATCTCCCTTAAGGGGCTGCCTCATCTTTCCAAGCCATCTTCCCTCCTTGATCGTCGTGCTCCCCTAGCTGGCTCAATGGGCTCAGCACAGTTTGATCCATGCAAATTTTATCCAGGTTCTGAAAACAGCCTTTTTCCTGTTGTCTCCTCTGAGCTGGCCTTTCCCCGTCCTCCTCCATTTTTTTCTCTTGGCTCTACCACAGGCATAATGTCTGGCGGACCATACATTCCCCATCGTCCCTCTCTTCAGAGTTCCCTATGCGCTCGGGGTGCCCATTACAGTCTGACAGAGCCTCTCCTTGAAGAGGCATCTTGCCAGCCAGATAGGTTTGACAGAATTTCAGTGTGTTCTTTCCAAGAAGATCTTTGCGATGTGCCACATTGTGAAAGTTATTTTGAGGCCTTGGTGGAGAGCTCAGCGTTATGTAGTGCACCTCCTGTTCCCAAGGCCCAGCTTTCTAGAAGCAAAGAAGCAAAAGGGAAAAATATAGGAGGAAGTTTGTTTGGAACAGAAAGTAATAAAACACCAGCAAGAATTCTGGCATATAAGTCTTTAAAAAGGAAGAAGAAAAGTGTCATGTCCTTAAACTCTCCATTAGAAGATGAGGGTGGCACAGTCCACCAGGCCAGTGGGAAGAACTCTGTGCTGTGGGCCGCACTCTTCAGTCTACAAACTAAGGTATTTGTCTTATTTTTGCTTAACTCGCTGGTCAGTTAGAATCATGGTGTACAACAGTGCTAGTCAGAGCAACTGGAGGTAGAACTGTTTATTACCAGTCTATAATGGGGACTTGTTCCAGTTTGTGAGAAAGTCTTGCTTAAAAAAAAAAAGCCAGGCAGCTTAATGAAACAGTGTGTTTGGTGATGAATGGGGTCATGCTAGTGAATGGATTTTTCCCACGTGACAGCATCCTGGAAGAGGCATGGGTAAGGCCTCAATTTCCCAGGTTCTAGCACTGATGAATTGCAGTACATAGAAATTTCCTGTCGTGCAGTAAAGCACAAGTGCATGAGGAGAACATAAGGTCTTGAGAATACAGGTATTATTCAACCTGTAACATTGTTATCTCTCTATTTGTTAAGTTAATAAACCACCTGTAATTTGGCTCCTATGTTGATACTAAAATCCAGTCTCATATCTACAATTATTTGTTTTGTTGTAAATCAGTTTAGTAAAGTGCAGGACTCGATTTAGTTTTTTTGTGTGTGTGTTTGGTTTTGTTTGGTTTGGTTTGAGGCAGAGTCTTGCTTTGTAGTTCAGGCTGATTTTAAACTCACTATGTAGACCAAGATAGCCTCAAACTCAGGGCAATCCTCCTGCCTCAGCCTCCCAAGTACTGGGATTACAGGCATGCACCACCACTCCCAGCTCAATTTAGTTGTAAGAGTGTGAATCCTAGCCCTACCACATTGGGATTTAGGGCAAGGCAGACACCCTGAGTCACAGTGCCCTCCTCCATGTAATGGGGATAATAATGACACTGACCTCATCCAGTGGTTTGAAGTTTAAAGGGTAACAGCAACTGCCCCGTTGCCCTCCCTGAGAGAATGCCAGGGGAGGTTGTAGGAAGCAGTACTGCCACTGTTGTCCAGGGCTGGACCCTGCAGCCAGACAGGGCTTCAGTCTTGAGTGTGCTACATAATCACTGTGTGGCTTTAGTCGAGTTGCTTCACCTTTCTGGGCCTCAGTGTGGCCGTTAATATCACCTAATATCACCTCCGAAAGAAGTGGCTAACGAGATAACTAATCACTTGATACTAGCTCTGTGTGGGTTGACACATACCACTGCTGCCATTTTTCAAATTATTGCCACAGATTCTTTAACCTGCACACCTGCCAATGACAGAAAAACCTGGCTCCAGGCTTATCATACCCTGGTACAAATGGGACAAGAAGGCAGAGCACCACGGGCAAAGGGAGGGTAGTTTTAAAGAACATGTTCGGGGGTAGTGTGCGCGCCTGTAATCCCGGCACTCATATCTCAACAAAGTGTTTTATGAAGGGATCATGTTGTTTAAAAGTTTGAAAGCTGGGCAGGGTGATACATGTCTGTAACCCCAGTAGTGGGGAGGCTGAGGCAGGAGGATCATTTCGAGTTCAAGGCCACCTTGGGCTACCTGACGAGTTCAGGGATAGCCTGGACTGTACAGTGGGACCCTGTCTCAAAAAAAAGTTTGAAAACATTGTTTCAAAGTATTGCTAGAAGACAACAATGTATAGGATGTGTAGAGTCCTTCTGAAAAAATCTCTACATATGGGCTCATTCCAGACTTGATATAAATGCCACCAGGTACTTAGTGTCCATAGTCCTTAGGAGATTTCAAACGATACTGTGTCTGTAGTCTAGGAAGAACTTTGATTTTAGGGTAATAGAAAGTTCAGAATTGTTTTAACTGAATAGAAGTAAGTAGAAATGTATTTTATATATTGTATAACTTCTTCTATGGTGACATTCCAATAACATGTTGTGAATTTGTTTTATTATTTTCATAGGATGGTTTCTGGAAACTTACACCAGAATTAGGACAGATATTAAACCTTAACACAAATGTTTTACATGACTTCCTTGAACAAAAAGGAATTCGATCTCTAGGTAGGTTGCCTTTTAAAATTCATTTTAGTCACCATTTTTATTCATGTTTCCATTCATCCACAGGCATGCTACTAGTTATAATAAATTATTTTGTAAACTAGTAAAATCATATAATAATTATGGGTTTTTTTGTTTTGTGTTTTTGGTTTTTTGAGATAGGGTTTTGCTATATAGTTCAGGCTGTCCTTGAACTCTCTGTGTAGCCCAGGCTGGCCTTGAACTCACAGCAGTCCTCCTGCCTCAGCTTCCAGAGTACTGGGATTACAGGTGTGTGCCACCACCCCTGGCTCAGTTCATGTAATAATTATGAAAGTTAATATGAACAGATTCAATATTAAGCTAGGCACAGCAGTGCATGCCTCTAATCCCAGTTCCTTGGGAGGCTCAAAATTTTGAGGCCAGCCTGGACAACTTATTAAAACCCTGTCTAAAAATAAAAGGGGCGGGGGATGTTGCTCAGTGATAGAGCTCTCCTGGGTTCAAACCCTGCACTGTAAAGAAGGAGAAGCAGAGGGAAAGGGAGGGGGAGGAAAGAAAAGAAGTTGAAAGTTGGCACACTGCTCATAATCTCAGCACTCTGGGAGGCTGAAGCAGGCAGATCACAAGTTCAAGCATGATCTAGGTAACTTAGTGATTTAGTGAGACCCTGTCTAAAAATTTTTTAAAAAGAGACTTGAGATGTAGCTCAGTGCTAAAGTCCTGGTTCAATTCCCAGTACTGAAAAAAAAATAAAAGGAAAGAAAGAAATGAATTATATTTGTTAACCATCAAAGGAAGTGGGAGACTGGTTTTTAGTCATATCTGTACCACTAGTTAGGATATTCTCTATGCTAGTTTACTAGCATACATGGCTAGCATTAACTACTTGAGGAAAACAACCCATGAATGCTTACATCAAAAACATTGGTCAGCAAGGAAGTTGTTCTCCACACGATCATTGAGAGCCCTTGGAGGCTGGGGCTGCAGCTTAGCGGTAGAGAGGGCCTGGATTTGATTCCCACCCTCCAAAATAAAAAGAGAGACAGACTGTGGCACCTTACACACTGTGGTACTTTATTTATCCTCACTGTATGGCTTTAAAATCAACCTAGGGGTCCTAGAGTTGTAGCTCAAAGGTAAAGCATGTGATTAGCATGGTTATGTACCTGGGTTCTATCCAATTAACCAGTAAGTAAATAAAATAAAAGTAACATACTGAAGGAAATTGAAGAAAAATTCCACTTTGGCATCACCCACGTGGTAGGCAGGCAGGAAGGAGAAAATGTGGCAAAACTAGTCACATAGCCCCCTGCAGATACAAAGAGGCTGGGAAATATCTTTTGAGCTCTGTGCCTGCAGAGCAGCACTAATGAGGGTCCCACTAGGCTCTCCCAGGTCCATTTGTTCAACTGTAAAGAACAGGGGAAGGGGATGTTACCAGAACCTCTGCAGTGAGTCCTAGTCTCCTGCGAGCCACGGCAGCACACAGCGAATTACGGGAAAGGTAGGAAAATGAGACTGAGAAGAAGCTGAGCTTTGGGTCTGATCAGTGCTGCTCTGGGCGGCAAAGACAAAAGCCTCCAGTTTACTGCACCTTTTACTCAATACAGGGGGAAACAGATGTAACAAGTGAAATGCAGAGTTCAGTACTTCACATTGGGATAATCAAGGTGTAACAAAAGGCTGCCCCGCCCGCCCCCCCTAGCGGAAATCTAAGAACAATGAGGAACTGTGCAGATGAAGATTTGGTTCCTCCCTGGCGTCTGTCTCCCGCAGGTGTGGTCTTGTGCTGGAGATTACAGCATCTTGGGATCACTGAGGTCTCAGTTGTGACCCAAGGCCAAAATGCAGTTATGTCTGGAATGTCCTAGCTGGGCTGTAGGCAGGAGAACTAGGCCTACTCAAATGACTTTTCCCTAGAATTATGTAGCATTGCTCCCAACATCCAACCCTTGGGTCTTCTTACTATAACAACTAAGAAGATGGATGAAGAGGTCCTTGGCACCCTTGAACCAGTAAATGGTTCAAAGGTCAAATGCTAGCCCTGGGTTAAGAAGGTTGGTTTTTGTTTTGTCTTGTTGTGAGACAGAGTCTTGCTATGTTGCCTAGACTGGCCTTGAACTCCTGGAATTAAGTGATCCTCCTACCTCAGCCTCCTGAATCACTGGGACTGCAGACACCTGACACTGCCTGGCCAGTTTTTGTTTGGCTTGATTTTCTTAGAATAAAGAAAACGTTATGAAACTACTAGCCAGTATCCATGGCAACATAAACAGCCATCTGAGCATGTGCTGTCACTTCTGAAAGGCAGGGTTTTCATATCCAGGACGTGGTGAGTTGGCAGATGCATTGCACTTTGTCTGGTACTAGACCAATGACTGCCAATAATGGTTTTTAATTTTGGACAAAATATTTTTAAAAATCACTCCTTTTTGGCTGGAAGAACAATCAGAAACCAGAGAAGACACAATCTTTTTTTTTTTTGGTACCGGGGATGGAACTCGGGTCCTTGCACTTGTGCAGCAGGCTTCGAAACCACTGAGCTAAACCCCCAGCCAGCAGACACAATCTTAAAAGAAGAGAAGCTGGGCCAGGGATTTAGCTCAGTGGTGCCACTGCCTGCCTCAAAAGCACAAGATCCTGAGTTCGATCCCCAGTACCAAAAATAAATAAATAAGAAGAGAAGAGAAGCCAACTAGATCAGCCCCACACTTACCCATCTTTACACCTGGAGGCCCTTCTCAGCTATCCGTCCCACAAGGGGTTAGAACTATGCAGAATATCTTTACAGAGGACTTGGGCTTGGTGGTTGAGGCTGCCATAATGACTTGAATTAAAGATGAAAATCCTGGGCTGGGGATTTAGCTCTGTGGTTTCGCTGCCTGCTGTGCAAGCTCAAGGACCTGAGTTCGATACCTGGTCCAAAAAAAAAAAAAAAAAAGATGAAAATCCTACAGTAGAGGAGGCCTCAAAATGGGAAGCTGTGAAATCTCCACCCAAATTTCCCTCAGATCCCATATATACTGGTGCAACTTCAATGAGCCAGAAAAAAGCAACAGCTGGACAATTACAGAGCTGACAGAGATTTCAACTGCTGCCACATGCTGGGGAGACAGAGGTTAGCATTCAGCTTGCATCACATTACATAGAACTGATAAGTGTCTCAGACTTTGCATTGAAATCCTGAAGGGACCATAAGGTCCATGTCTCATTATCAAGGGCTCTTCCACAAGACAAAGGGAAAAATAAAAATAGGCTTATCCTAGCAAAGCCTGAAACAAAACCTTTACACAGTTAGGAGAACAAAACTCAATGTTCCTTTTTTTTTTTGAGACAGGTTCTTGCTACGTAGTTCAGGCTGACCTTGAACTCACTGTGTAGTCCAAGCTGGCCTTGAACTCCTGGTAATCCTCCTGCCTCAGCCTCTCAAGTGCTGAGATTACATGTATGCACCACCACATGTGGCTCAACATTCTTTAGAGTAAAATAGGATGATCCAGTCTCTATAGGGTATCATTCTTAACATTCAGTATAGGATGGAAGTTTAACAACATGTGAAAAAGTAGGAAAATATGACTTAGAATCAGGAGGAAAATAGTCTATAGATGCTAATCCAAGATGATCCAGATGTTGGAATTAGAAGACACAGAGTTTAAAACTTATTATATGTACAATAAAGGATTTACCAGAAAAGGACAAACTGGGTGAGCAAGTAGAAAAATCACAGCAAACAGCTGGAAACTATAAACCAGATGCAAATGAAAATTCTGGCACTGGAAAATATTATGTCTGTAATGAAAAGGTCTTTGGATGGGTTTAAAAGTAAATAGATTAGGGCCAGAGACTTAGCTCAGTGGCACCATGCCTCCCTCCCAAGAGCAAGATCCTAAGTTTGATCCCCAGTACTGGAAAAAAAAAAAGTAAATGGATCGTGTAACTCATTATAATAATATAATTTGCTCGATAAAATTATGCAAACTGAAAGAATAAAAATTAGAATGAAAAAAGAACCAGAGCATCTAAGACCTGAGAGAAGAGATCCACAGGTTTAACATGTGTGTACTTGGGATCCCAGATGGTGGAAGGGTAGAAGAAAAGTACGTATTTGATTAAATAATGACTGCAGTTTTTCTGCAATTGATAAAAGATATCAGCTTATACATCCAGGAAACTCAAAGGAATTCTAAACAGAATAAATACAAAAAGACAATGTTTAAATAGACCATAGTCAAACTGCTAAAACCAAGGGTAAATTTTTTTTTTTTTGGTACCAGGGATCAAACTCAGGACCTTGCACTTGGGCAGGCACCGGAACCACTGAGCTAAATCCCCAGCCCTCAAGAGTAAATTTTTTAAAGATAAATCTAAAAAGCAACCAGAGAAAAAGCATTACAAGAGAATGTATGTGGGATGCTCTGTTTTATGGAACAAAGTGAAGATGTATGTGGGGTGCTCTATTTTTTTTTTTCCGTACCAGGAATCAAACTCGGGACGACCTTGAGCTTGCAAGGCAGAGGGTGGAACCACTGAGCTAAATCCCCAGCCCTGGAATCCTCTATTTTATGGAATGAAGTGTTGCCTGAATCTAGCATCAAAAGTGAAGCAAATTAAGATCTTTGAACTAAAAAGGGAGAACTGTAGTAATTTTATATTACTTCACATAAAAGATAATGAAAGCTAAAAGACAACAGATTTTTTTTTTTTTTTGAGACGGAATCTCACTATGTTGCCCAGGCTGACCCAGAATTCCTGTCTTAAGTGATTCTCCTGCCCCAGCCTTCCAAGAACTACAAGCAAATGCCACCACACCTGGCTTAATGGAATATCTCTAAATGATTGAAGGAAAGAAAAATCCTATAAACTCTGAATTCTGTATCCAGTGGAAAAAAAAAAAGGATCACTGAAAGTTTCAGGCCAGCCTGGGCTATACATAGTGAGTTCAAGGTCAAATTGGAGTACATAGGACACCCTCTCTCAAAAAACAAACAGGGCTGGGAATGTAGTTCAGTGGAGCCACACCTGTCTGGCAAGCACAGGGTCCTGAGTTCAATTCCTGCTACAAAAGGAAAGCAAAAAACAAACAAAAAAATTAATTTGAGGGCCGGGGATTTAGCTCAGTGTTTCCGCTGTCTGCCTCGAAAGCACGAAAGCACAAGGTCCAAAGTTCGATCCCTGTTACCAAAAAAAATTTAATTTGAGGGCCAGGGATTTAGCTCAGTGGTTCCGCCCCCTACCTCAAAAGCCCAAGGTCCCAAGTTGGATCACCGGTACCAAAAACAAAAAAAAATTAATTTAAGATGGCTCATGGGCCCAAACTGTAAAACCATAAAACTTCCAGGAGAAACATAGGAGAACATTTTCATTAATTAGCACATGAAAGTCACAAATCATAAGGGGAAAACTAGATCGATTGAATTTCATCAAAAATAAATGTTTTGTGCATCAGAAGGCACAACTGAAAATGAATGGAGTGCCGCCTCCAGCCTCTCAAGCCCAAGGTCCTGAGTTTGATTGCTGGTACCAAAAAAAAAAGAATGGAGGCAGGTGTGGTGGCACACACCTGTAATCTCAGCACTTGGGAAGCAGGAGGATTTCGAGAGTTCTAAGCCAGCCTGAACTACATAGCAAGACCCTGTCTAAAAAAGTAAATAAAAATAAAAATGAATGGAAACCAGGCATAGTATCACATGCCTATAATCCTACCACTCTGGGAGGCTGAGGAAAGAGGGTCATAAATTCAAGTTCATTGTGAGCAACTTAGGGACTCAGCAAGACCCTATTTCAAAATAAAAATTAAAATGGACTGGGAATGTAGGTCAAAGTGAGAGCCCTCGGTTCCATCCCCAGTACCGAAAAGAAAAAGGGGAAGAAGGGAAGTGGGGGAGGGAAGGAAAAAAATGAATGGAACTGATCATGGTGGTGCATGCTGTAATCCCAGCACTTTGGAAAGCTGACAGGAGAATCACAAATTCCAAACCACCTAGTCTGTACAGCAAGTTCAGGCCTGCTTGGACTACAGAGCAAGACCTTGTTTAAAAAAAAAAAAAAGGAAAGGGAAGAAATGAATGGGCAAACCACTGACTGGGAAAAGATCCAAAGCATGTGCCTGACAAAGCACTGCCAACCAGAATACACACAGAATTCAATGACAAAAGGACAAATATGAGCAAAAATGCGAACAGACACTTCCCAGAGAATTAAGCACATGAAAGTATGTTCATATTCACCAATAAGCAGGAAACTACAAATGAAAATCACAGAGATTCTGTTACAGAGCACCAAAATGCTGAAATTGTAAAGGATTGACAGTGTCAGACAATGGCGAGCTTGTGGAGCACTGAACTGTCATGTACTGTGGGTGGGAAAGGAAAACAAGCTGTTCTGATAGAAACCTGGCCCAACTTGGCAGCGCCATCCCCAGGTATTATGGACTGAATGGGTGTGTCCCTCTGCCAGTCTGACCTCACTGCTCCAGTCCTTACAGTGGTGATGTTTGGAGACAGGGCCTTTGGGAAGGACTTGGGTTACATGAAGCCACGGAGGTAATAAGCAAATACTGTAGGACTCTATGTATATGAAGCATCTGGAACAGTCAGATTCATGACACAACAGAATAGTAGTAGTTGCCAGGGCCTGAGAAGAGTAAGGAATGGGGAATTACTGTTTAGTGAGCATAACAGTTTTTATTCTACAAGATGACCTGGGTGTGGTGGCACAGACCTGTAATCTCACAACTCTTGAGAGTCTGAGGCAGGAGGATCACAAATTTGAGCCCAGTCTGGGCAATTTAATGACTTAACAATTAATTTAATTTAATCACTTTCTCAAAATTTAAAAAAAAACAAAACTTTTTTGAAGGGACGGGGATGTAACTAAGCACAAAGGCCCTGGTTTCAATCCCTAGTACCCCCTCCCCACCAAAAAAGACGAAAAGAGCTCTGAGAGAGATGGTGATGAGGTAGTGCAGCCTTATGGATGTGTTTAATAGCATCGGACACTTGGAATGGTTAAACTGGGGTAGTTTCTTTTAAGAAAAAAGGAATAGGAAGCAGATATGGGAAACTGTTAAGAGTTACAAATTAAAAAAAAAAAAAAAAAGAGTTACAAACTGGGACCTGGGCATGGTGGAACACATCTGCAATCCCAGCATTCCAGAGGCTGAGGCAGGAGGATCACTGTGAGTTCTAGGCCAGCATGGGCTACATAGTTCCATAGCACTTTTTTTTTCCCAGCACTAGGAATCGAACTCAGGACCTTGTGCTTGCCAGGCAGGTGCAGAGCCACTGAGCTAAATCCTTGGCCCCAATCCTGGGCTACATAGTGAGTTCAAGACCAGCTTGAACTGCATAGTAGGACCTTGTCTCAAAAAAAAACAAAACAAAAAAAACGCAGTAATTTCAAAGGCATCACTTATATTAAAAGATAAGACTATAACAAATTATCTTTGCAGATCATAGTTGACTTTATTTGTGATTCTAGAATAGATAGCAAAAATGTTTCTGGATGCTGCACCCAGCCACATGAGCAGATTTCATTTATAGCCAGAATAAAAAAATGACATATATGTAAATGGGAAGTGTGTAGAAACAGTCCAGGTGGTTCCACTCCCATCTCACTGTGACTTGGGGACAGATCTGGAAGTCTCACAGTACCCGATCTGATGAATAAGGTGGATGAGGACACACTGTAATGTTTTTATGAGCCTGCCTTTCTGTTGGATGTCCCTCAGCAGCAGCCTTCCCTGTATTTGTTATCACACTCTGTAAAGACACGAAAGAGGATTTCTAAAACAGCTTCAGAAAGTGGCAAGAACACTGGGATAAAGTGTGTTTGAAGCAAGGTGGGTAATTTAAGGGAGATTAATGGCAATATAACTTACTGTAATAAATTTTTTAAAATTTAAACATTCAGGGATCGGGGATTTAGCTCAGTGGTTCCACCGAATGCCTCACAAGCGAAGGTCCTGAGTTCGATCCTCAGTAACAAACAAAAAAAAGAAAAAACAGTTGGGCGTGGTAGCACACACCTGTAATCCCAGCACTCTGGACGCTGAGGCCGGAGGATCGCCAAGGAGTTCAAGGCCAGCCTGGGCTACAAAGTGAGTTCAGGGCCAACCTGAACACAGCGAGACCTTGTCTCAAGAAAAAAAAAAAAAAAATTAAACATTGTTTATCTCAATCACACCTCTTATATGTAAACATTCATTTTCAATTTTGATACTTTTTTCCGTTATGTTTATTGGTACATTTTAGGTATACAATACAGTTACATTCCTCATTGGGAATTTGTACCTTTACATGATGCATCTTGGTTCTTATTTTTTCAATTCTGATATTTAATAATATAGTAAAATATCTTGATTTGGATATATAACATTGATACCTGTAAGTACTAAACACTAGAAATAATTTGATAATGGGTATAGAAAAGTCATACTGTGGTTTATCTGACATATATATGTATATATATTTAGATTTACTCTTTTGCAGCAGGAGCCTAAGACCAAAGTTCTTTTACCATACTTCATGTCTTTCTGGTTTTTGAAGACAGCAGGAAGGAGGGTTAACTGAATATGATACAGTTTCCCACGACCTTAATTTTTGTTCTCATTTTTTAAGTAGCAGTCAAATTAAGGACCTTAAAGAGTGTTACAGAGTTTTATGATCTGCTACTGTATTATGGCATAAAAGTAGTATAATTATTTAATAGAATTTTTTTTGTTTGTGTTTGCAGTACTAGGGATTGGACTCAGGACCTTGTGCTTGCCAGGCAGGCTCAGCGCCAGTGAGCTACATACCTGGCCTTTAATAGAATTTTTATAAGTGGGCACAATTTGCAATGCAGAGTTTCCAACAGAAATAAAGAAGTGTTTTGCTCGTAGGTGTAAAAGGAAGAGAATGTCTCCTGGACCTGATTGCCACATTGCTAGTACTACAGTTTCTTCGCACCAAGTTGGAACAAGAGGAACTAATCTTCAAATCTTTGATGAAATTGGATGACCCTTACATTTCCAGTTGTGTGTAAGTTGGTTTTCTGTCACTGTGACAAAAATAATTGAGAAAATCAACTTGCAGATTTGTTTTGGCTCATGGTTTCAGAGGTTTCAGCCCACAGTCACTTGGCTCTGCTGTTCAGAGGCCTCTGGTAAGATAAAGCATCATGGCACCCAGGAAGAAAAGAGGCAGAGGAAGGGGCCAGGGATGAAATATCCCCTTCACGGTGTGCCCCCAGCAACCTACTTCCTCCAGTTGGGACCCACCTCCTAAATTTTCCTCCATCTCCCAATAGCTTATTAAGTTAAGAATCCATAAATAGATTAATCAAGTTATGAGGTTAGAGGCCTCCTGATACAGTCAGCTCTCAAAGGCCCCACCTTCAAACATTGCTGCATTGAGAACCAAGCCTTGAACACATGAGCTTGTGGGGACAGTTAAAATCCAAACCATAGCCAGGTGTGGTGGCACACACCTTGTAATAACAGTTCCGAGGCAAGCAGATTGTGTGTTCAAAGTCAGCTTGGGCTACATAGCAAGATCCTGTCTTCTCAACCACCCCTCCCCCAAATCCAAACCCTAACACAGGTGTCTTTAACTGTAATGATGAGCAACTCACAAAGTAATAATAATAAAAGCAACTCACAGTTTCAACAGTTTCTTCAACCTTACAAAAAGCTACGTGGGATTATCTTACATGTGTATTCTGCTTTCCACGCACAAAGAATTGTTCATAGGTAAGAACTTGCCCGCAGTTCCTATGGTAGCCAGGGCTGGCATGGTATTTTTGCCTCTGGCTGCACAGGATATGATCTCAGGATAGCACAGTATAGCTTATGTGCAGCCTAACTGTGGAGCCCAGCTGTCCTGGCTCTGGGTTTGGTGCTGTGATCTTATGTGCCTCAGAAGAAACACAGTATGATTACTGGGACTAGCTATAGGTACTTCTATTTAGATATTTTCTAACTACTGTAGCTATTAGAACAAGTGTTCATAACTTTGAACTTTCATTTTTACTTTTTTTTTTTTTGTACTGGGGATCGAACTTGGGTCCTTGCGCTTGCAAGGCAGGCTGCGGAACCACTGAGCTAAATCCCCGGCCCATCATTTTTACTTTTTGATGGAGTCTCATTGTGTTGCCCAGACACGCCTCACCTCCTGGGCTCAAGTGACCCTCTTGTCTCAGCCTCCCCAGTAGCTGGCCATGCAGATGCATGGCACCTTGCCTGGCTCTAAACCCATTCAACTTTTGAACTGCAATATCATAAAGTATTAAGCCAAGATTTTTTAAAATGACAGAGGGCTGGGGATTTAGCTCAGTGGTTCTGCCGCCTGCCCTGCAAGCACAAGGACCTGAGTTTGATCCCCCGTACCAAAAATAAATAAATAAAAATGACAAAGAATGCTCTTGCTATATTACCATTGTGAAAGCAAAATAGTTTATTGGCACTTTAATAAGTAAAACAACACTTTTATTTATTGCTTTTGTTTATTGCGTAATTTAAATTTTTTCTACTTTTTATATTTCATGATGTATATAACATTAATATAGTATTATATTACATGAGAGTATGTTGGCAAGGTTTTCTTACTAATGAGATGAGTGATCACAAAGCTTAGAGGCAGCTGGATGTGCACACCACACCTGTAATCCTGGCTGAAGCAGAAGGATCCCAAGTTCAAGCCCACCCCAGACAACTTAGCAGTGAAATTAGACCCTGTCTTAAAATAAAGGGAGAGAGGGCAGCTGAGGATGCAGCTCAGTGTGAGGGCCCTGGCTTAAATGCCCAGTACCAGCAGAAAAAGAAAACATAAAAACCTCTGGGGAGACAAAATAATGAGAATTTTAACAAAGATAACAAAATAGCATATAATGTCTGCATTTTAAAATTGATTTGAGTTCCTCTTTAGAAAAGTGAATGTAACAAAAACTCAAGACGTTTTGGGAAATTGTATGCTTTCCAGCAAATATGTGTGATTTTTTTTTTCTTCCTTTTTTTTTTTTTTTTTTGTGGTAGTGATGGTGGTGCTGGGGACCAAATTCATAGCCTTAAATAGGCTAAGAACTGCTTTATCACTGAGGTACATCCTTAGCCCCTTGTGTGAATTTTTTAAAAGCACTGAATGTTATGGCTTGTATCTAGTTGTCTTCCCAAAGCCTCATGTCATCATAGGTGGGGGTTTTCAGAGGTGGCTGGATCTAGAGTGTGTGATGCTGGGATCAAGGGTGTGTGGTTACTAAATTAGTCCACTGATTGGTTTGGTGTAGTTCTGGGTGTAGATAACGGGAAGGCTCACCCTAGGTGTGAGTGCTGCCTCACCTAAGGGTATGTAGCCTGGATAAAATACAAAGAACAGAAAGAGAGTTGCTGTCCTCACTTGCTGCTTGGTGCTCGTTGCTTTTGCTGCCTTCTGCTTGCCATGAACTGTTTCTCCTTTGCAATGCCCCAGTGCCATGCCACCCTGCCTTGGAGCCAACCACTTATGGACTGAAACCTGTACAAACTCTGAGCCAAAATAAACATTTCCTCCTTTAACTTTGGGTATTGGGTATTTTGTCTCAGCAATGAGAAAAGTAACCAAGACACACTCCTTTGTAAATTATATAAAATGTTATAAAAAGCTAGGCAAAGTCACTTGTGGTAGTACATGACTGCAATCCCAGCACTTGGGAGGCTGAGGCAGGATTGCTGCAAGTTCAAGGCCAGCCTGGGCTATATAGTGAGTTCAGTGCTAGCTTGAACTACATACTAACACCTTCTCTCAAAAAACAAAAGCACGAGTTCGATCCCTGGTACCAAAAAAAAAAAAAAGAAAAAACAAAAGCAAAGGACCAGGGATTTAGCTCAGTGGTTTTGCTGCCTGCTGTGCAAGCCCAAGGACCTGAGTTTGATCCCCGGTACAAAAAAAAAGCAAAATAAAAAGCTGGGCATGGTAGTACACTCCTCTAACCTGAGCACTCTAGGAGGCTGAGGCAGGAGGATTGGAAGTTGGAATCCAGGCTGGGCAACTTAGTAATTCAGTGAGAACATGTCTCAAAATAAAATGGGCTAGGTAATATAGCTTATTGTGAAGGCCCTGGGTTCAATCCCTAGTACCAGGGGAAAACAAAAATAACAGTTGAGGCCAACTAGAATAAAGAAAGGCCCACTGAATTAGTCAAAATACTTAAAATAAGTTTGAGTCCTTCCAGTACTTAGTAACTATATGTAGATTAATAATTACTGGGAGTTGGGTGTGGTGCCACATGCCTGTTATCCCAGCACTGGGGAGGCTGAGGCAGTATTCAAATTTGTGCTGGAAGAATGGATAGGATTTAGATTGAGAAAAGTAGAATGGGACCAACAGTACAAAAATTACCAGCCAGGCATAGTGGCACATGCCTGTAATCCCAGTTCTTGGGAGGTTGAGGCAGGAGAATCGCCACAAGTTTGAGCCCAATCTGGATGAGTTCAAGGACAGCCTGAACTATATAGAAAGACCTTGTCTCAAAAAAATATATAACCAGGAGAAGAAATGCTGGAATATAGCAATATGAGGAACAGAAGAAGGAGGGAAGTGAGTCCCTGGACCCAGCAAGGATCTGAAGCAAGAATTGGAGCCCATAGGGAGAGTGAAGAGAGAGACCTCAACATAGAAGAAGGAAGTAGCAAGCAGCTCTTTCTCTCTGAGCCCTGACATGGTGTGTGGGAAGGGTGGCTCGAATATGCAGACGCATGGTGACCATAGGTGACCCCAGGGGACTCCTCAGGGAAACACACCAGTGAAACGGAGCAATAGACACAGCAGACTGCAGTGGCTGGTGAGTTATTCGGGTTCAGATGTCCCTCAGGAGAGGGCAGTTGGTCAGTAGCCATCTTGGAGAGGGGCCAAGTGAGCTCAGGACTCAGACCAGCTGCAGGCTGGCTCCCTGTAGTGACTCCCAGTGTCAGGATGAGGTGGAACTGAGTTCAAGTCAGTAGGAGGTCAAGGAACTGAGTTCAAACTGCCAGGGACCCAAGTTCAAGCCAGCATGAGGCACACAGGATGAACAAATTGGGTTTCAGCCTCAAAGCCAGAAACCAGCCTGAACTTCAGTGGAACTAAAGGATTATCCACTACCCCACCATAAATCTACAACTGGCTTGCTGGGATCAATCAACACAGATCTGGGCTCTGTCTACCCAGTCTGTCTACCAGTGACATCACAGACATGCCGTGAAGTAGATATATTTTTTTCTTTTTTCTTGATTGTTTTATCTTGTTTTTATATGAGTGTGAACATTGTTTCTGGTTTTATTATTTTTATTCTGTTCTATTCTTTTTATTTTTTCCTTCTCTCTTTCTTTCCTATCTTCTTCACCAGTTTCCCAAAATTCACATAATCTTCCTTTGTCCTCCAGCCTTGCTTCTAATCTCTTCCTCTAATTCTATTTCTCTATTTTTTCTCCCTAACTCCTTTTAAATTTTCTCACCTAAAGGACCAGGGATTTAGCTCAGCAGCACTTTGCCTGCCTTGCAAGAACAGGGTCCTGAGTTCAATCTCTGGTACCAGAAAAAAAAAATGTGTTTCTCCCCTGAGGATAAAACTGCCATATTAAGGGCATATTTACTGTATATGGTATATTTTCTGCTTTGTTTTGTATTTTCTTATGTTACCATAAATACAGTTCAGATGGTTAAAGGTGGCAAATTAATAGTTACCACAGTTTGTCATTTCCTGGGCTGTGTTTGATGCTATTGTTATTGCTGATTGTACTACTTTAGCCAAGGTGACATAATTGTTCTAATCAGTTCTTCCTGGTATCCCAGGACTAAAATTCCCTAAGGGTCTTAAACAATACTATAGGCCTGTGCCAAAGAAGCAGGGGCTAGGCCAAATAGGTAGCAACTTCTCATCCCTAATAAATTGAAGACATAGGATCTTTTAACTAACTCAAAACCCAATACCCAGCTACACCTACAAGACGTATCTGAGAAGCAGTCATTTCCTAAGGGTTCTAAATGCTAACAATAAAGCTATCTGCCATAGTCAGTTTACAAGCATC